CAAAAACTCTTACTCGTCTAGTTTTTTTCCTTGAACATCAGTTCTTTGAATTTGCTTCCTTCGTCTTGTTTTCCTGATTCATATAATTTGTAATCTTTTAAGTTGTCTGTCAATCGTTATCTTGCTCTACAATCTTCATCTTTTCTCTTCCAGTAACTTCAAACACTATTTAGTGGTTGCTTGCAGCCTTGTTGGGAGCAAAGCTGTTTAAAAAAAAAAAAAACTTTTGCTGTTGCAATTTCCTATCAAAACCATTGCTTTCATATCTATCAGCACAACAATTCTCTAGAAAAACAGACATCTGTTTACTATTGCCAGAAATCATTGTAAAAAGATTTTGTCTAACACCAAAGCCCATTATTTTTATGTCACGAAATCTTATATTTCATCTAAAAAGTTGTGACTTCTTGTGACTTAAGAATCTTAAACAGTATCTATAACAAGGGCAAATCTGTTATTCCACTTCTCTTATGTGGTTCAGATTTTGTCACCTCATTTAAATATAAGACTGAGTTGTTTGCTAAGAACTTCTCATCAATATCATCTCTTGATTCCACTAGTCGCATTTTAACTGATATAGCTGACAAACAGGTTAATCTATTGCCTGACCTTCATATCACTCCAGCTTTTGTATCTAAAGTGCTGCTTAGACTCTTATACAGCTTGTGGTCTGAACAACATACTTGTTGTAGTCTTGCAGAATTGTTCTATGGAGCTGCCGTCTATACTTTTATAACTGTTTTACAAGTTCTTATCAGAGTCTTGTTTTCCGTCCTTCTTGAAATTAGCATCTGTTATCCCTATTTTCAAAAATTCTAGAGCAATCTGGCTCTTCTAACTACCGTCTTATTAGTCTTCTTACTATCATAAGCAAGGTTTTTGTGTCTTTAATTAATAAACACTTTTTTTTTTTTTTTTTGTTATTCACCTCCTCAAGGCTGAGAAGGCCGCTACAAACGAGGAGGCTACTTAATAGTGGTTATAACCCTCTCTCAACTCTATAACTCTGAAACACGAACCTTGACGAACAAGGCCGCTCTGGGGAGAAACAAGTTGAGTGCAGTACTCCCAGGGACGTGGTGGGGATCGAACTCGGAACCTCTCGCTTATGAAGCGAGTGTTTTACCACTACACCACTACCGCATAATCTACTAAAATTCATTCTCTTGTTACTCGTCATTCAACTAAGTCTCATCGTTTTTCTGTGACTATTCTTAAGTGCTCCAAAAACTCTTATTTGTCTAGTTTTTTTACTCAAACGTGTATTTTGATATTTGCTTCCTTCATCTTGTTTTCCTGATTTATATAATTTGCAATCTTTTAAGTCGTCTGTCAATCGTTATCTTGCTCTATAAACTTTATTTTTTCTCTTCTAGTAACTTCCAACTCTAATAGTGGTTGCTTGCAGTCTAGTCGGAAGTAAAATGTCAAAAAACAATAATTTAAATTTAAAAAATATTGGCTCTAAATTTATTTTAAAGTTTGTAAAAAAATTTTTTGAGTTTTTCTAAACATTTCTCGTTTGTACTTGCTATAACTGAAGTTAAAAAAAAAAGTTAATTTATATTCAATTATTTATATAGGTAGTTATTTTATATTGAAATTGTAGACAACTTTCTTTAATTTAACATATTTTTAAAGGGATCCCAAACTCCCAACACATGTTGTGTTCATATTAAAGATAATGTTAAAAAAAAAGGTTTGAACCAATTTTTTTTGATTAAAAATAAATAATGAATGCATACCGAGAAAAACAAATGTTGTTGTTTTTGCCGAAGCTCGTCTTCTCCATTTTTTTCAACTAATCGGAGTCTTCAAATTATGCGTCGCAATCTACAGACTTTGGCAATTCCTTTGAAGCGCGTTTAATTCATAAAAGTTTTAGTATTTGACGTCACGGTAGACTTTTAACAAAAGAAACTCTGGAAATATTTTTATTTATTTTTAGTCGAAGTTTTTTTGGTTATTTGTTTAGTTTTTTTTTTCTACTTTTAATATTTAAAAAGATATTAAAAACCTTAAATCTTTTATGCTGGTTCGTTGCTATAAATTGTTATTGCGCCATATATTTAATGTTTATAAATTATGAATATTTATTATCTCAAAAATTGTTTTACATTAATTACCCGTATAAAATTAGTAACAGCTTTTTTATTTGGTTAGACGATATTTCGTTTCAATTTGCTTTGCATGAAGTTCGGAAAGTCGAACGAAAAAAATTAGTTTGAATAATCACGTTGAAATATATTTAAAACAAATTATTTTAAAGACGGGGGTTCTAAAGTTTTTTATAACAAATGTAGGTAAAAAAATAAATAACTAAAAAATAAGTTCAGTATTAAACACCATTTCTTTATTATATTGCAACTGTAAATATTAAATTATTAACTTAAACTAAATTTACTTATTATTTAGAACGACTAAGCAATAAAAATAAAATGCCTCTAAAATTATGCGAGATTGTGTTGTTTATTTGATAACTGTTGTTGGTAATGTTGTTTATGTTGATTATTTTCATAAATATCAAAATAGTTCCAGATTAATCTGTTCGTTGCTTTGCTCATTGTTGATTTATTTCTAATTTAATTTTATCTTAAACTATAGTTATATATTAAAAAATAAAAGTTTTTATTTTATCGGGCGCTCTTTTTATAAAAGAGTAGAACAAAAGAGAAAGAAAAGTTTCGCGCAATTAAACTTTGAATGAATAAGAGTTGTAAAGAATATATATTTTTTTTGCGTCACTCGTTCACTTTTTAGATGAGAGAAATAAAAGTTTAATAGTTTAATTTTCTTTGAATAAATGAGAGTTGGAAGAGAAAATTGCTTGAAAATTTGTATTTGTTAATTGTGTTTTTAAAAACTTTTAATTTTTCATGTTAAGAGACAAATGCCAATTACGACACAAATTTGGAAATACCAAATATAATATGTTTTTTAATGCGCGTTATGACATTTTAACAATTTAAATTACCATCTATCTTGAATTATTGCCTTTAATTAATGTGTTAGTTATTGCATTATTTAATAAAAATTTGTCCGTATTTTGGTTAAATATTAGTTGTATAAAACGGGCAAAAATATACAAACTTCATGTTTTTTATTTGATGGTTATAAAATATTGAACAGTAAACTTATAATCAAGATTTATAATGCCGACTTGTGTTGCAATTAATTGCACTTTTAATGCAAAATCAGGATCTCACATATCCTTTCACGAATTTTTATATCTGATACTACTGTCAAGTGTTAAAAAAAAAGTACAAAAATACACTAAACTATTGTTTAGTGTATTCTTGTATTTTTTTTCATAATCTTAACAGGTTCTAATTGGTATGGAGTTGCTGACATTTTAAAAATTTCATTATCAAAAATCAAATGTAAAATAAAATAGTATTTCCTTTTTATCCGTATTCAATTCAGCAAATTTAGCAATTTAAATTAAATCAGCGTGATCAAAAAGATTTTATAATAAAAAAAGTTAACAATTCATTAAATATCTCTAATTAATACTGTTAGTTTATGAAAGTAATTGTTAATAAAAACTTTTTTTCAACGGGAAAACAAAAAATTATCATAGCGTAAAAATAACCAGAGAAGTTAGAAAATAGTTCCCATTGTTTAAATAAAAATAATTAAGAATCAGAATATATAATACTGCGCTCTCTTGCGCTAAAACAAGAGACCGTATATAAAACGTTCTATACAATGTAAAATACTCGTATGAAAATCATGAGATTGGTAAGTAAAACTTTAATATTTGTTTTAATTTAAATAATTAAAGAAATATAAGTAAGATATATAAATCTAAAAATTATTAAGATATCTGTAAAAAATAAGTTGCTCCTATAAAACAAAAATAATTTATCATTTTTTCTTTTTACAAATTTTTTTTTGCGATGTTTAGAAAAATAATACAAATAAATTTGTTTTGCTGTATGTTAAAAAAATACTACAGTAGAAAAACGCAGCTTAGTTTAATTACACTTTTCTTTTGTTAAAAGTCTACCTTGACGTCAAATACTAAAACTTTTATGAATTAAACGCGCTTCAAAGGAATTGCCAAAGTCTGTAGATTGCGACGCATAATTTAAAGACTCCGATTAGTTGAAAAAAATGGAGAAGACGAGCTTCGGCAAAAACAACAACATTTGTTTTTCTCGGTATGCATTCATTATTTATTTTTAATCAAAAAAATTTGGTTCAGACCTTTTTTTTTAACATTATCTTTAATATGAACACAACATGTGTTGGGAGTTTGGGATCCCTTTAACAGATCCGTATAAAGTTAGTATGGTGGTTATTTATTTTTGGTAGTTTTTATGAATTTAAAATTTTTTTGTTATTTATTTTGTTTATATTCATAATTTATTTTGAATTTAATTTTTATGTTATTTTTAATAATTTTTATATATAGCTTTTATATAATGTAATACAAGTTTGGTTAATATCTATGGCAGGGTGCATTTAATGTCCCCTACTTTTAAAAAAAGACCTGTCTCTATTTTTAAATTATTTTATTGGTTCATAAAAGAAACTCTGTAAGAAATTTAAAAAAATGTAACTGGAATTTAAAACATAAATGTTTTGAATTTTATTGTTTAGGAAATGACATTATAATAAATTATAATAAAAGTTAAAAATGTGCATTTGAAAAAGATTTTTTTAAATTATAATTATTTTTTTGTAATGTATTTTACAAAATAATGATTTTTTAAAATTAAATTTATATATAATTTTGCTTCATTTGAGATCCAACATGACTTACTTAAAATAAAAACTTTTTTTTGGCATTTTTACAGTCAGATTGATAAGTTTAAACTCAAGGTGGCCCCCCTAAACCCACTTACATTTTAAAAAAATTTAACAGTTGCTTGTGAAAACCAATAAAAAAATTTTAAGAAAAGGGACATATCTTTTCTTTTAAAGAGGGCGACATTGTATTTACCCTAATATATTGAATAAATCAAATTACTTATGTTTAAAAAAAATTTGTTTAGATTGACTTGTTATTTGCACGACTTGCTCTTACTACGATTCCAGAAGATTTGGATTTATTAGATGAAAATCTTCTCAAAAATTTAGATGCTCGTTGTATTCGCAGTTTAAATGGTATTTATATGAAGAAAATTAGAGTTGTAATGAGTATAATAATAATAAAAAAATACACTTATCAAAATAAAAATTTTTTGTTTTTAATTTTTATGGATAACACTATAAAGAATTTGAAACTAAAAAAAAGTTGAAAATATTTTACCAAAAAAATAAATAAATAAATAAACTTTAGTTTAACTTGAGTTTTTACGAGAATTAATAATTAATGGAATTTTTTTCTTTGTTTTGACTGTAAAATAGTGCTAAAAGCATGTCTTTTTTAAATTGACTTTTTAAAATAAAGGCAGAATATTAAAAAATCCAAATCATTTCCTTGTATTCACAAAACCCCTTTTATTCTTTTCAAAACACCAGTCTTGCCACCAAAACAACCTCACTATTATCACCAACACCAAACCATTTTTCTAGTGGCACAACTCCATCTTTACCAATAACACTAGCATAATTTAATTTGCGACATTTATCAATAAACCTTTACCACCTTAGGTACATCACTTTTGATAACATTTAAATTTGTTCAGAAACTTTTTTTACTTTTTATTTTTAGGTTGCAGAGTCACTGATGAAATTCTTCATTTAGTTCCTAATATTGCCAATTTCAGAATGACACTGAGAGCTATTAAACTTTGGGCTAAAAGTTTGTAAAATTTTTCTTATATTTAGTTAGTTTTAATAATTTATATATTGATTTAGATAAGTTTTAATTCTTTTATTTTAAAGTTTACAAAGATATATCAGATACATACATATATACATTCATACATACATGCTGTTACAGGAAATGTGTGTGACTGGTTGAGTGACCACAAGCACTCCCTGTAACAGCCTGATATATATATCAGGCTGTTACAGGAAGTACGTGTGGTTGGGCGTCTTGTCTGTCCATGCATAAAAATTTTTCTATAGAAAACTTGACCGCAGCTGTTTGCTTTTTTTCACGATTCAAGTGTTTTAAAAATGTGCTGATAGAACTACTAATAACAAAAAAAAAAGTAGAAGTTTCTACCTCATTTTTAAATCTAGAGAAAGAATTAACGTAAGTACCTATATGATATACATTTAAATCATATTAAAAACAATGATTTGTCATACAATTTTCTCCTTAAAGGTATATTTATACTTAAAAGGTATAAACATTTTCCGTACAATAGCTTTAATATAGAAAATTTTTATACCTTGAAGGTATAAAAATTTTCTATATTTTTTTATATCAGAGCAATATTCTTTGATAATTTTAATAAAAAATTTTAATAAAATCAAACATTTTGATAAAACAGCAGTAGTCAAAAAAAATTTTTAATTTTATTTCAAATATTTTTATGTAATATGAAATTTTTAGAAAAAATACAAATTTTTTATTGTTATAGTTATTTGAAGTTATTCGAAATTAATTGAAGTTGTTTATTCAAAATGTAAAATATAAATATTTAAAATAATTTCCTCTTAGACTTTGAGTTTTAATTTAATATATATATATATTTTTTATATTAATTTACAATTTTTTTTTTATTTTTTTTTATAGTTTTATTTTTATTTTCACTTTAGTTAACTGTTATTTTTTTTATGCCTAATTTTTTAGCTTCATTTTTTTCCGCTAATTTTTAAAATGTTTAAAATTTTAAAACATGCAAAGAGTCTTAGTCAAGTTGTCTCAAGAAAATGCATGTGCTTCCTGTAACAGCCTGATATATATATATATATATATATATATATATATATATATATATATATATATATGTGTGTGTGTATATATATATATATATATATATATATATATATATATATATATATATATATATATATATATATATATATATATATATATATATATATATATATATAGACACACACACATATATATATATATATATATATATATATATATATATATATATATATATATATATATATATATATATATATATATATATATATATATATATATATATATATATATATATATATATATATATATATTAGGGTGTCTCAAAAATATTTCATAAATCAAGTTTTAATGTTCGGAATATTACATTTAGCATAATTTTGGCCATAAACAAAAAAAAATAAGTTTCTAGGTAAGGGGGAAGGTGGCTAACAAAAACAATAAAAATCAATGATTATAATTAAAGTAGAAATCAAGTTAAAAAGTTGTTTTCAACCAAGAAATTCTTCTAAAACACAGGTTTGAACTTGTATATACAAGTTGTTTACCAGTTTCACTATTTTTTTCATTATTAGTTGTATACTATAATATAAATGCACCTAATTATGGATTTTTTGAAATGAAATAAGTTGGTTTTAGAAAATGTCTCTAGGCATTAATTGTTGTGCTAATTCACTGAAAACAGATATTGATAATGCCTCAAAGCTATAGGGAAGAAGAGACAATTTTATTTGTTAGGGGTTTCTTTACAGAGTTTTTCCCCTAATGGACCTTCTACAAATGGAGAAATGCTCAGAAGGTATTACTGGCTTGATCTCGAAAATAGCAATAGGTAAATCTGTAATTAATTAACAAAATCATTACATTTTTTAGATGTTCAATGTTGACTTTTTAATTTTTTTTTTTAATTTTTTAGCACCACACAGATTAACATTAAAATTAGTTGTCTAGTTGTTTCCAGGAAGACGTATTTACAATGCTCTAGGTTTGCTTATGGAGTGTGCAGAGAGAACACCAAGCAGATAATTACTGGTGTCTGTATTCTGAGGGAACCTGTCAGTTTATGGAATTATCAAGACCAGAATCACCAAGAAAGTCAAAGAATACCACACTTTTAAAATGATAAAAACACAAGTTTGAGAACACGGACAATAAATTTTGGGAAAATGCTCACAGGGCACAAGAAAAAATAATTCAAATATCTGAGAAAATCCAAAGAAATAAAAGTAAAAAAAAAGAGTAACTATTTGGACGGTGAAAGCACAGATAGTGACAATAAAACTGATTGTGACTATATTTACCTCCAGCTAAAGTCCATAAAAAACAGAAAAGATTTCAGAATGACATTAAAGTTTACCTTCAGTTAATTATAGAAGACATTCTTCACAATTGGATTCAATTATGACCAGATTTGGGATTGGGATCAGGCCGAGTATGTCTTTTTGTCTTCTCTTTACAAGACTGGTGGAGTTAGTATTGATAAAATCTCGATATCAAGATCAACTCTAAACAAGATAATGTTGTAGAGTCTGAGACACAGATAATTAGAGAGGAAAACATACAGTTGCGATCAAAAGATTGCATAACCAAAGTTAAGACCAACATGTTAAATAAGCTTTTCTTGATATCCCAGATTAAAAAGATCTGATTGAAAAGAGGCATAAAACTAAGGTTGAAATTATTCCTACATCAAAATTAGAAGATTTTGTCAAGGAGAAGTCCTACCTTTTGTTCTTACTATTGCAGATTTCCAAGAAGGATCTTTTGCTATGGAAAGAAAAAGGCATTGAAGCATGTGAAAATGAGGAAGTTTTCCAGTCTTTTACTTACTTTTCAATATGTGTAAGAACACTTATAGTTGTAAATGACCCTGCAAAACGCCACATTAAGTTAATTCAAGATGTCATTGAGAGAACACACATTGAAGACAGGCTTCATGATGCTCTTCAAGTATTTTGTTCAATAACAGGAAATATAAATGGGATTTTTAGTTGTTATTAATAATAATAGTTGTTGACGTATAAGTACTACTTTTTATAAATTTATGTATTTGTAATTTAGGTCAGAGAAACCAAATTTCAAAGAACGCTACAAAGAAAGATCTTAAAATTATTTAGTTTAATATTATTTGTATTAATAATATTAGTTTATGTTATATTACAATGCTATAATAAGATAAATTTTTAGAGTATAATTCCATTTTGGTTTCAGGTAAATTAAATCTTTATTTATTACAATAAAGTTAAATGATGGATTTGAGGTTGAAACCTTGACATTCCAGGGGCAGATACAGCATTTTTTGATGTTTGAGATAAATGATTAACCTCTTCAAATTGAGGGGGGGGGGGTTCTAGTTTTTTATTGCTCATAGTTTTCGAATGCTAAAAGATTGTGTCAATTTTGAATTTTATTGATGAATATAGGTTTAGTTAAGAATAGTAAAAAAAAGAATGAATCAACTTGTTGCTCTCTAACATTAAAAATGCTTTCATTTTGTTGCATTTAAAACAAATTTCACCTTAGAACTGATGGTTTATTTTGTAAAAAATTCACTTAAAGATTTTATGACAAGAATATTTATTTGTTTAACACACACTAATTTTTTTGTTTGTTTAGGCAACAATTGTAATCTGAATAATATGAATAAAGTCATTTTAAAGTCAAATTTTACTTAATAAAATAAAAGTAAATTCACCTAAACAATCTTTCGCTTTATCTAGAGACTTATTTTTTTGTTGTTGTTGTTATTTATGGACAAATATTATTGATGCCAAATGCAGTATTTCGCATATCAAAATTCAATGTATGATATATTTTTGGGACACCCTAATATATATATGTGTGTGTGTGTGTGTATTATTTTTTAAATGGTTACTACAACCCTCATTTAACTAAAAAAAATAATTTGAAAAACAAGTTATGTTACCATTCTACTATTATACTACTTAACAAATGGATAAAAATTTGATAAAAAAAAAATAAAAAATAGATGAAAATTATTTTAAAATAATATATCACCAAGTTTTAAATATTTTCAGTTTTGTAAGTTCAATTTTAGTTTTCTAATTCCAGATCAATTTGTTTATTCAAATGTTCTTGGATTTCTTGGTGGTGTGTCTTGGGCCATGCTTGTAGCTCGAATATGTCAGCTTTATCCAAATGCTATTGCTGCAACTCTTGTGCAAAAGTTTTTTCTGATTTATTCAAAATGGTTTGTATATAAAATTTTCTGCAATAGTGGTGATATATATTTTAGTTATCATATTTGTAGCATTCATATTTGTTTATATATTTTATATTAATGTTTTACAATATCTATATATTTAGGGCATGGCCTCAACCAGTCCTTCTTAAACAAATGCCAACTGAAAACAAACTTAATTTTCCTATTTGGGATCCAAGAGTAAGTTTTATTGGTTGTTATTTAATTCATCGACAAATGGAATCTTGATAAAATAAATTAAATGCTTGCTTTTTTGACAAAAAATTTAGAAAGTCTATTTCTTTTTTAAAATATCATTCCTAGCTTCAGTTTATCAAGTTCTCTCTCAAACATTTTTTTAACCCTAGTTAAATTCTTATTTGATTTTTGAGTTGAAATTATTCTTTTTCAGTTTTGTTTACTTAAGGTTTAAAGATTTTGTGTTTAATTTTAGATGAATCCAGCTGATCGATTTCACCTTATGCCAATTATTACTCCAGCATATCCACAACAAAATTCTACATTTAATGTGTCAATGTCTAGTCGTACTGTAATGCAAGATGCATTTAAGCGAGGTAGATATTTTTAGAGGATTTTTAAAGAGGTTTTTTTTTTATTATTCTTATTAAAGTATCATTTTTTTTTTATTCTTCTTTTGCTTGTAAAGTTTATAAATTGTTCTTAATACCGTAATAACATATAGTTTATGTTCATGTTTGCAAAGTTTGAAGTTTAGGTTTAGATGAATCAAATGGAGATAAAGATCATGTTTGGCTTTTACTTGGCTTGGAGAGGGTCTAACTACATTTGCAATGGATTTCGAATCTGTAAGAGAAAGAGTATAACATAAGAAGTATCAGCACAATAATGACAACATATGATGATGGATAAGAACTATAAAAAGGTAAAAAATGATTGATGAACATTCCATGATGATTGAATCAGGATACAATGATGGAATCAGAAGTATATGAATGATGATGGAATCAGGAGTAAACAAATGGCAAGCACAATAAAATGAGGCAATCTTAATAGATATTATCTTTGCAATCAACTGATAATAAGATACTCTTTCATAAGATAGAACTATTAAAAGAATTTGAGTAATGACTCAGTAAAAGTGTTGGGATTTATCAATATAAGAAATTATTATTAGCAGTAAACAACTGAGTTTTTTATGGAATAAAATTTACCATTCAATGCAAGCTCCAAGCTGTCACAGAAGCAAGATCATATTCAACATATCTAAGTGATTCAAAAGCAATTTTGTTGAGACTGAAGTATATATTTTTCAGTAAATAAAGCCATTTAAGATTATTAGGAAAGTTGTTAATATTGGTAAAAAATAAATGATCAATGAATTTTATGCACCATATAAAAACACCATATAAAGAGAGATGGCTATGGAGAAGACCAGCAGAATGCCAAAATTTATTGAAATTTTTTTATATGAAAAAAACGAGAACCAAAATCTTTTTGTCAGATAATAGGTTTTTAAAACTCAGAGGTTTGTTGATTATAGACTCAAAAATCTTGTTAAAGGGATTCTCAAAGACAAATGTTTATTTTGTAAATAAACATTAGACAATAAGTTTTGAGTTTTCCAAAACTTAGTTAATTTATTTATTGAGATATTATTAAAAAACTCTTGTTGTTTTGCCATTATACCAGTTGAGAGATTAATATTACCTTCATGAATCTGCATAGTTTTTTCTAATGTAAAAATATCTAATTTGAATAATAAATGTATTTATTGCAGAGTTTTTTTGTGTAACAATTACACAATTAGATGGAGTTTTTCCATTTTATATAAAAAACGTTTACACTACATTAAGCATTTTAGTTTAACTGGAGACTAGAGACAAAATAAAAAGTTGTTGTTAAATAAAGAATATGGCTTCTCTTATTTGTATTTTATTTCTATTTCTATATTTACCTTGAATTCAAATTTATTTGTACTAATTCTTACTAAATTAAAATATATATTTTTTAAATTTAGTAAGAGTATTACAAATTAATTTTCAATTTTTTATTAGCAAAACTTGTTTATAGAAAATAACGCTATAATTTTTAAACTTACATATATTTACAGCACTAATATTAATTTTTAAAATAAAATAAATACAGGACTTTTAAAGCGTTGTTAATCTTGTTATTTTTATTCTGTTTTTTAAAAGGTATTCATTATTTTATTCTGTTTTATAAAAGGTACTTGTTATTTGGTTAAACATTTATAAAAGGTATAAAGGAGTTCTTCTACATAAAAACTTTATCACAAATAATAACATAAAATTTATAATTTGAGTTTAAGTTATTTGAAAGAACTTTTTTGTATTTACTTATACATTTATTAACTACAAAAGCGCATTAGCAGGTGCTATTTAGACTATTTTCGACAGCGCCAGCTGTATTTGGGCACCGTCCAAATTTAAAATTAAGGGTTTTTTTCTTTTTTACAGCAAGTATTGTTTTCATTTGGAAATATTTACACCAATTTATGCCGCTTAAATTATTTTCCTAGAATAGCCCCTGATTAATCAGACCAATATAAAAAAAAAAAGCTTTACTTAGAAAAAATATAGTTTTAAAAGTTATAAAGTTATTTGGTAATATCTCTATTACTAGTTTGTTTTAAAAAGTTTAATTAAAAAAAATAAAAACTTTAAACTGCTATTTTTTAAGGATTAAGATGGTAAAACTTGTATTGACACTTGGGAATCCTTGGGAATCTCTTTAATAATAGTAAGAAGACTTATCTGGTAATAGTTAAAGAGTTCAATGTGATTTCCAGAGCTTTTTAAAATTTGGAAACGTTGACTATATTTTCCGGAATGTTAGAAAATTTAATTAATCACTTTTTAATGTTATTCTGATTTAAAATAAGAATTTAAAAAGTTCTTAAAACATGATCAGATCTTAACATGAATTTTAAAATGTCAATACCACCAGCTGAAGAAGATTTAAAGTAGAAATAACTCTAGAAAAAAATTTCAAAGTGATATGTTTCTAATAATGAATTAATTTGTTTCTCTAGGAAGACAGGAAAAGTGTGGTACTTAAATTAAAGAAGTAATTTAATGTAAAATCTATTTGAAAAAGGTTCTGCTTCATTAATAAAGGTAATAAGATCAGACCTATATATATGATAAAAGGTTAGACTTGCCTTTGTTAATGATACTGTAACAAAATCATTTCAAGTATCTAGAACTCAGCCTCTGATATAAAACATAAAATTTAATAAAAGAGTTGTGGTTGTATTTTTCCTGCAATGGTTACAAAATGTTTTTTCTTAGAAAAGTTATTCTTGTGAAAAATATAAATGAAATGATTACAATTAATAGTTAATTATTACTAATACAAATAGCAGCTGCACAAGAAAACGAAAATCAAGGGTGGAGTGAAACCAAGGATGGAAGGGTTGAGTGAGGTTTGCCTTAGAAACAATGAGAAGGGATAAAAACCTTCATGCTTGCCTAAATCTAAATAGTGATTTGCAAATGGACAACTTTCAGCTGCTTATTGAAAGATTAATGCTTGGACTAATATCCAAGGATCCCATGAAAAAAATAAAAAGATTGTGAGGCAGTCTTAATGTAGTTTGCAAACTACATGGCTGTTTAAATTTACTATAATTTATAAATAAAACTGAGTTAAATTATTTAATCAAAAGTTTGTTTTGTTTTTATTTATAATTATTTGTATTTACTACTTTTATCGGATGTTACTATTTGTTTTCTTTTTCAGTATTATGTTTTATTTTTTATCATTAGTAATTAATACAGGTCTCGAATTAACCCAAAAAAATCTTGTAATAAAAAAAATATTTTTTTGCCCCTTCCGTCTTCTCATACCTCGTGCTGCTTTGTGGAAATGGGGGAGGGGTGTGCATTAGAATAAAATTGTATCTTTTGTACATAATTGTTATTTGTTTAACATATCTCTTGTATTTAAATATTATCTTATAATTTTCTTGTTTGGTGGGGTTTAAAATAGCGTAAGTTACTCTTATAATTTACAGCTTAATTTATAATTTAAAGTTCTAGTTACAGTTACAGTGTTAATGAGCAAGTAACATATTTAATACTATCAAGATAATTAAGTAATTGTTTTTATTTAACATGATACTTAAAAAAGTAAAAGTAAAAAACTAAGAGTAAAAAGCAAACACAACAATATTTAAAACACTTTAATTAGTCATAGAAAACTATTTAATACGTTCATGCTGACGATAAAACACTTTGTTGTTTTTATAGAGTATTTAATTGTTATTGTAAAAAGCTATAAAACAATAAAATAAACTGCAAAGTTGTTTTAAAATTTAAATAGCTTGTGTTGATGTAAAACAATTTCGTGAAGCTGTTTTGTTTCTGTTTTATACAGTTTATAACCTTAATAAAATAAAACGCGTTTAAAATAAAATGAAGCAACTAATAATTTACAGTTTTAATTAATAAATAAATAAATTATTGTCATATAACTTAATATTTAAATATATATATTAAAGAATAGTTCTAATTAATAAATTAAAAAATTGTCATCATATAACTTAATATAACTTAAAAACCAGGCTGGTTTGTTACAAAAAAAAGAATGAAGAAAAAGTTTGCTTTAACGTCTTTTCCCTTTTCAACTTTTCGCTTTAACAACCTTTTTAATATTATTGTCTTCCACGCAGAGATTTTAAGTAATTTAAATTCAAGTGTCATACATTGAATGAAAATCTTTGCGTGATAGAGCAAATGATTAGCTATTCAGAAGATAAATTTAGTGTGACGTATTTTATGACAAAAACATTACTTTTAAGAATTGCCAAAAAAAAAATACTTAACTAGAAAAAAAGTAAATAAACAACAAAAAAAGAAAAAATAAATCACAAAAATTTGTTTTTTAAGAAAAAACAAATCCCGAAGGTCTGAAAAGCAATCATGGTCACGATACACTTAATTTGAGCCATGTAATATCAAAATAAAACTTATCATAGCAAAGTAGTTAGGTTAAATGTTATTTTTTTACTTGGTAACAGAGTTGATTTTTAAAAAATTGATTGTGGGAAATTGTTTCAAACTCGACAAATCATCTTTTAAATTAGATACAACGATTCTTTATCAAACAAGATACAATCATTCTTTTTAGACAGATAAAAATTATTATTGTATAAAATTATTATAATAGTATAATTACATTAGTATTAGATTTTCAAATTACTCAAATTCCAAGACTTAAATTTGAATTTTTTTCAGCTGTATTTGCTTTAAATATTGTAGTACAAAATATCGTCTGTTGTTAGATAAAAAGGAAGTAGGCCTCTTTAAATGCTAGCTTATATTTTTTTTAAATATTTCATTTAATTTGCATCTTATGTTTCTACTATTTAATTACAGGTTTTCAAGTAATGGAAGAGATTTATTCTAAAACCTCAACGTGGAAAGCTTTATTTGCACCAGCTAATTTTTTCCAAAAATATAAGTAATATATATATATATATATTTTTTACATTTTAAATGTTTTTTTTTTGAATAATACATATAACATAATAGATAGTTCACTTAATAGAAAAATTAAAAGTTTTTATTAGATGTTGTCTAAAGTATCCATGTAAAGTGTATTCATGTAAATGTAGATATTCTTATATATAGTTATTTGTAAAGAAAAAATAACACTATTATTTTTTTAATCTTTAATAATTTAAATGTAAATACAAGTTAAAGAAAAAACTTATTTCTAGCTTTTACTTGTTTAAGTTTAATATAAAGTATTACCTAACTTCACTTAGTGATGGGAAGTAGCAGGATCCAAGCATCCAAATTTTCTCAACTGGTAGTTTAGTTTACCCATACTCCACAAACATGGCTACCCCTTTTAGTTATAAAAATATCAGGGTCTTAAGTGGCAGTTCATAACTAATATTATAACTGTTTAGTCTAGTTTTGACATCAATGCAGTATTTATTTTTACATGATTAAGAAAAGAAGAAAAGATTTGAAAGAAGGGGAGTTAAAAGTGGTGATTTGTATTTTGATTAGTTCAGCAATTACAATAAACAGTTTAAATACTGTAAAAGCTATAGTGATTCTTATTTTATTGATTTTTGAAATTTAACTATTTGTGTAAAAATAAACTTGAACTAAAATATTTTTGTTTTCGAATAATTTTTAGGGTCCCAGTAGGATTGGAATTGAAAACATAGTATTTGAAAGATCCTTAATTTTTGAGTTTTTTTTTTTTTTTTTGAGACTTTGCTTCATGATCTAGTATTTGCATGTTTATAGACAAATTGCTTCATAACCTAATATAGCATGTTTATAGATAAGTTGATTTTCAAGTTAGCCATTTAATCAATTTTTTTTTTTTTTTTTTTTTTTTGAGACTTTGCTTCATGATCTAGTATTTGCATGTTTATAGACAAATTGCTTCATAACCTAATATTAGCATGTTTATAGATAAATTGCTTAATAATCTAATATTATTGTGTTTATCAACACGATATAACTCATAATACACAAAAGTTCATTTTGAATATCTTGATTTTTGTATTTCATTTTTTACAACAATTTTCAATTGTTGTTAACAATGAATATTATATTAGATTATGAATATAATATATTAGATTATGCAATGTCACCAGCCAAGAACCATGAGGCCATATGTCTATTTTTTATGTTTTCTTGAAAATTAAGTTTTTTTATTAGCATGTTTATAGATAAATTGTCAGCTGAGAACCAAGTGGTCGTATGTCCACATTTAGTGTTTTTTCTGTTTATTATCAATATATATTGTATGTGTTCAATAAAACTAATTTCAAGAATGATACAACTTTTAAAAATATTTAAAAAATTAGTCGGACAATCTGGCAGAAAGTCTTGACAAATCAGGTTTTAAAACTTAATTTTCAAGGAAACACAAAAAATAGGCATATGGCTTCATGGCATAAAACTTAATTTTCAAGGAAACACAAAAAATAGACATATGGCTTCATGGTTCTCGACTGATGAAAGTGCATAATCTAATATATTATATTCATAATCTAACATAATATTCATTGTTAATAACAATTAAAAATTGTTGTAAAAAATGAAATACAAAAATCAAGATATTCAAAATGAACTTTTGTGTATTATGAGTTATATTGTGTAGATAAACACAATATAAATTGTATTAAGTTCTAGGGTTTTTTTGATATGATAATAAATCAGATAAATTTTTTTTTCCTTTCCTTAAAACCCCTAGGAAAAAAAAACATTTTTTTGGTATTTCACTGTTCTCAAATTAATAAATCAGATTAACAGACTAGACAATAAAAGTTTTAGATCAATAAATTTCTGTAGTATTTAATTTCTCTCTGAGGGTATTTAAAATAGTGATATAGCGATTTTATAGTCACAAGTTCACTTGTGACTATAAAATAGCTATATCACTAGCTATATCACCTCTGAGGGTATTTAAAATAGTGATATAGCTATTTTATAGTCACAAAGTTCAGAGAAAACATATAGAACTATTGATAGTTCTATATGTTTTCTCTGAACTTTGTGAAGAGTTTTTAATATTTAAAAGTCAAATATATTTAAATAAACTTTATACTTTGACAATCTTTTTTGTTGTATGTATCAAAACCAGTTATATTCAAGACAATGCAAAAAAATGCAAATATTTCCATTTTCTTACTTACTATTTGACAAAGCTGTCAAGCCTAAGTAAATTGTTAAGAGCGTTTCAATTACAGAAATAACAACTGCTACATATGAGGTAAATTCAGAAAAATGTAATGTTATAAAAATAAATTAAAAAATATATAACTCAGCAAGTTAAATCTGATGAATAAATAAAGCCAATAGTGATGTTAAGTTCAACAAAGAAAAAAATTACCTTTAACCGTGTAATAATTAGATAATAATTTAACAATAAAAGCTGTAACAATTTTAAAATATAAGAACATATCATAGAAAGAAGATGTAGTGAAAAATATATTTCAGTTGAAGATTTTGCCTTTGTTAAATATTATATCGTTAAACAAAAATAAAATAAAAATGTTAAATAATCTTTATCATTAAATAAACTTTACACCTTTTTTTATGAGTGCTTATTGCTAACATTTTTTTTACTACAGACATTACATTGTTTTGAGTGCTTATTCCAACAGCAGTGAGCATCATCTAGAATGGGAAGGTTTGGTTGAATCAAAAATTCGTATACTTATTGTTAATCTTGAAAGAAATCAATTTGTAAAACTTGCTCATGTGAATCCTAAATCGTATGATCCTATTCTTAAATCAGAGTAAGAAATAGTTTTTTATATTATTTTTATTTGGTAGCTGGTTTGTGCTTGTTTCTGTCTTTATAACAGTTTGTGTTTATATTAGTTGGCCTTTATACCTGTTCATGTTTATGTTACTAAGCATTTATAGAAGTTCATGTTTGTATTAGTTGCCATTTGTATCAGTTTATGTTTATATTAGTTGGTATTTAAATAAATCTTGTTTTTATTTTGGAAATTAATATCAAATTTTTCAAGTTGATTTTCAAGTTAGCCATTTAATCAAGTATTCGTCAAGTCAGCATTTAATCAAATATTCGTCAAATAAATGAGTTGTTAAAATGTTTTTTTTTATGTTTAATTTTTTACACAAAAAATTTTAATATTTAAATAAAGTACAAAGTATGAACATTATTAAGAATAATTTTCATAAATAATAAAGAATCTTATTGATTTTTTTATTTATGGTTATTTAACAAAATTTTCTAAACACGAGCAGGTGTTTTTGCTTGAAAATATTTATTCTTAATGAATTTAAAAATTTTAAAGATTTTTAACTTGTTTAGAAGTGGCACTGTATCTCGTTGGTTTATTGGTCTAGAATTTCAAAAACCAGGTATTTAATTTGCATTCCCAAAATTATAATTTACATATTTGTATGTGTATATGTGTGATAGTTATAAATTTCAACAATATAGTTTCAAATGTATTTTGACTTAATATATTACTAGAAAATATGTTTTAGAATGTACTAATATTCCTTGCATAAAGCACATTTTATGGAAAAATAATAATTTTAGTGAAAAATTTTTATTTCAAATAAATACTTGAGAAATAATTTTAAAATTATACCTTATGCGATTGAACAGTTTCATTCCATTTAAAGAATTATTTATCTAAATTTAAAGTTGTTGCCAGCAATTTAGAAATATTAACGAATAAATATCCGATAACAAAAGACTTATATGTTAAAGCAAAAATTATATGAGTTGGTGAATGTTAAAAGGGTGGAAGCCCAACTATGTAATCTTTCGGGAAACTAAAAAAACTGCATTTTTCCCCATAGTAAATTTTTGTTAATGTTTTAATAATTTTTTTTTTGATGTGTTTTACCTTCAAAAAAAATTATTGAACCATTAACAAAAATTTACTACGAAGGAAAACGCTGTTTTATATAATTTCCCATTAAATTTTTTACATTATTGGACTTCTGTCGTATTAACATATATATATACTTAAAAATTTTTTATTTGCAGCTGTTGAACATTCACCTTTTTTAGAACAATATCCATCGAGTCTAATCTATAAGTTTCTTTCTTCTTACTTTTTACATAACCAATATTATATTTAATACTTTGTTAAGTTTGCTAAGACACTGTTTATTTTGTTATTTAACATATATGTCCTTAAGGCTTCAAGATAAATATAATCTTGAATAAATGTCACTTTTCTTACAAGAAATGCATAAGCAAATTATTTTCTGTTTATTTTTAGAAGGCACTAAAAATGTAAAAGTGGATATCACAGCTGAAATACAATACTTTACCAGCACTGGTGGTTCTTTTAGTTTTTAAATTTGTTTTGTCTTTTATTTTTTTGAAACAAAACGTAGAAATATAAAATGAAATACAAACTACATAATAAAAAACAAAGTTTTAATATTTTTAATAGTACATAAACAAGCTTGTCAAATTGCAATATTTCGAGAAGGAATGCGAACAGAGGCAAGAAAAAAAGTAAGTTTTTGTTTGCATTACTGTCTGTCTTATACTAACCTTTATGTGTTGTTATACATTTTTACATGTTTACCTCTCTGGATCTTGCTATACATTTGAAAAGTTTTTATTGCCTATTATTCCATTATAATTAATTTTACTGATATGGTCTTGCTTTTATGTTTTTTAGAAAGCAATTAAGTAATTATCTTCCAAACACAGTATTAAGATTGAAAAAAAAAAGCTCTTTGAATGGGGTAATTTATTTCATTTTTGTTTGTTTATTGTACTATTGTTTATTTATTTTTTGGTAATTATATAAACCAGTAAAATAATTGATTCAAGGTTTAGAAACTACAATTAAGAGAGTAAAACATGAAATGTTACTGATAATGTTATACTGAATCAGTGCTTCAGTACATATATCCACTGAGGTTTTGGGTTTGGGCTAGCAGTATCTATGTATAGAGGACAGTTGTAACTGCAAAAAAATATATATATTTTTCTTTGTCTAAAAAAGTCTATATCTAAATTAAAGTCTTCTTTTTAAACTTATATAAAAATTATTTTATTGTCTGTATTTTTTCAGCAAGTGCTTAATGAATAATATCAAAGCTTTATATATATATATATATATATATATATATATATATATATATATATATATATATATATATATATATATATATATATATATATATATATATATATATATATATAAATATATATATATATATATATATATATAATAATAATAATTTAAATATATAAATAATTTTCAGTTTATATTAGCTACCTCTTTTTTTCTTCAGGACAATAAAATGAGTTAAAAAGAAATTGCTTTTTTCATTTAATTACGTGACGTAACTGTCCTTTGGTTACTGAAACTTTAAAAAAATGAGTGTTATGTAACTTAATTTTAAAAACTTGTTACAAAATTTTATAAGAATTTGAATGTATAAAAAATTTGCTTTTTTGAAAAATATATATATATATATATATATATATATATATATATATATATATATATATATATATATATATATATATATATATATATATATATATATATATTACATACATATTATATATATTATATATATATATATATTATATATATATACTTTTTTGAAAAATATATATATATATATATATATATATATATATATACATATATATATATATATATATATATATATATATATATATATATATATATATATATATATACATATATATATACATATATATATATATATATATATATATATATATATATATATATATATATATATATATATATATATATATATATATATATTATATATATATATATATATATATATATATATATGTATAAATATATGTATATTTTATATATAACATGTTATGTGAGTGCACTTCCATAAATTTAAAATCACTCAAAATTGAACTAAGAATGCACAAGTCTTGTGTCAAGAACCCTACTAAACATAGTCTCGTTCTAAGCAATCCAGGGACCAAATAAAGCTCTTGTAATTTTAAAATTAAAGAGAACAGAACAGTTTATATCAAAATGCCTGGTAAACTTTCTTCGCCCTGCAGGTAAAACTTCAGAACTTATTTTTGGAGATAAATGCGTACATAAAAATAACTTTTAACATGTATTTTCTATATAAATACAACGGAAATTTCCGTATTTGAAAATTTAGCTACAAATACGGAAAATTTCCGTACATAATCGATGGATACATCCATATATGGACATACGGATACTTTCCGTTGAAATAACGGAATAAATTTCCATTTTTTTAACGGAAATTTTTAACAGTTTAGTTGAACAACGTTGAAAAAACGCTTTAACCGAATTTCAACGTTGAATCAACGTAATAATGCCGGCTGGGATACTACTCACTTTCAAAAAATTAGCAAATTTTAGCGCGGACTATAAAAAAAATGTTTCATCTTCTATAGCATTTCAGCTTAAGACATTTTTAATACTGCGAAAAACTAAGAAGATTGAATTTACCGTAATTGATTAAGTGTTTTGGTTGGGGCAGCGATAAACTTAGAGTTAAGAGAAATTTTCAGCACTTTTTTCCGCAATTTACATATTAAAAATTTCCGCATTTTTGCATTTTACACGTGTCTACAATAACATATTAATTTGCTCATTTACAAATGTAATTGTAGCCCTTATGTATTTGACATTACCCATAGGTAAAGGTGCAGCAACTAAGAAAAACAATGGCGCAAAGCGTTTTGGCTGCACTAGACCTCATAGCTTCTGAAGCAGAAATAGCAGCTCAATTAAATTTAAAAGGTGTTATAGACCTATTTGCGGCTATAAAGACAAAAAAAAAACTTTCATTAGATCTTTTACTTACTAGACTTGCATAGTGAAACATGCTTGTTTCTATTTAATCAAAGCAAAATTGTATTTAAAAACAAGGTTTTTGTTTTCGAGTATAATTTTTGTCAAGAAAAGGATATAGAGGTTGGAGCAGAGAAATAATTTATTTGTATTTTTGTTTGTATTTGTATTTTTGCTATTAAAAGAAATTAAATGGGTAAATAGGCGAAGAAGTTGATATTTAAGTATATATTCAAGATACAAACTACCTGAAAAGTAATTACAGGAAATGTTGTCTTTTGTAAATCTGTTTAAAGAGAATATCAGAAAATTTATTATTTTCTACTAGGAGACGTAATTGGCAAACTTTAATGCTAAAAGAAGAAATTGTGCTAGACCAAAAAAGTTAAAACTTTGAAACGATCGTAAAAAAGTGATATCAAAGCAGTTAGTTAAAAACTCAATAATGTTGGGGTGAAAACCAGTGATTGAACATTCAAAGTTATTTTAATTGTAGTTTTGTGGCAAAAAACAAAAACAAAAAAAGAAGCAAAATTTAAACTAAGCAAACAAAAAAATGCGATATGAAAAATAATTTTGCGTCTGGAGAAAAAGTAGGATTTAGTGAGAAAAGAACATTTTGTGAAGTGGATAATTTATTCATTTATGTGAAAAAATTATTTAAGAAAGAGTTTTATTTAGACTGTGTGGTGCAACGAATTAAACTTCTGACATCTGAATTTGGTTATCTGAAGCCTTATATAAATAATGGCTGCGACCTTAATTACATTGTTGAAAAATAATGACGCAAGATTAGTATATGAAATTGCTTCAGGAAAGTTTTTTTGTCACAGATTAGATTGATATAACCTAAAAGCTATTATTTTTTGAGTCATAATGATGTTCTTCGCCACAAAGCAAAATCTTTTTTAGAGTTTTTAGTTGACAAAAAACTATTTGTTCTAGATTAACCTCGCAGTCCAAAAAATTCTAAAGAGAATTTGTTTAATATCAATATCCAAAAAAATAATGTTATGCACGCTACATTTTATTGCTATGATGGCATTCGTGTAGGCTACGTATGAATAATATACGTAGCCTATTAATATATTAACTATACGTGGTTTAAGCGAATGTTTGAAAACCGTACATGGTCAATGCGAATGGTTAAAAATGTACGTGGTCAATGTGTATGGTAATAACCATACGAGGTTTAGTCGTATTTAATGATCAAAAAAGGCTTACCTCTACGTCAATCTATAACCATTGGTTATTTAAAATGATCAAGTCATATAAGTAATATATCTACTATGGTTTACATTTTTGCCATCCCATAAAATTAAGTGTGGCAATCATTACCAACTCATGAGTTTCGCATCAATTTTTTTTCAAGATAGTTGAAAGCCCAATTCGCAGATATGAACCTGTTTGTCTACTTTTATTGTCAAAAGTAAATTTTCTTAATGTGAAAAGAAAGTGTTTATCTCAACTACTGGGTCTTTTACTTTCACCAATCATTGGTCAGGAATCATGACAGTTTTATAACTTAAAATACTTCTCTTTTAGTTTTTTTTAAGTTTTTTTAGATATAAAATCATACAGGAAAGTATGATTTAAAAAAAAAACATGCCTTAAAAAAAAACTAAGAATTTGTGCTCCTCCGTTGGAGTTTTAAGGCTCTATTACAATCGTAAAAGTTTGCAGTTGTTAACAACCTTTAGAGTAAACTATATATATATATATATATATATATATATATATATATATATATATATATATATATATATATATATATATATATATATATATATATATATATATATATATATATATATATATATATATATTTATAACATTAAGTTTTAGAACAACTGACTGATCTAATTGCGGAACTTGTATCCGACAAGAATCTTTACTTAAAATTTTGATGTTAATTTTTGGAATTTCACAATCAACACTGATAACTTTTACCCCTGACAATTTCTCGCACTTATTAGACTGTGTGCCGGTTGAATCTCTGAATAATTTTGGGTCTGTTGTTTTTCTGTCTGATGTTTCTAACGAATGGCAAAATAACTGTTCGTTGAAGTGTAAGACGCAAATTTTTCCACTGTAGTGGTGTTTTTATATTACTTCCAATTGAGCGCATAACACTACACTGTAAATAAATTCAATAAATTACGGTCTTTTACCTATACTTATTAGACTTTTGAAATAATCACATCTTTTTATGGGATTTTGACCGTATTTATGATACGGAGAAGATCCGTAACTTTAAATAACGGACTTTAATCGTATATTTTAGTTTACTTTAGTATAGCCTCTACATTTACAGAGCGCCATAGTTCTTTTTAACGAAGAGAAGTTATACACGTTTTTAATTTCAAGTTAGAGATTTTAATATATTTATATTTGTTTTACTGGAACTAAAGTGCTGTATGTTTTTAAAGCAGCGCATTCACAAAATTTTTTTTGTAATTTAGGCGCTGATTTTTTTAAGGATGCTGTTATAAATAGATAGAGATATTTATTAAAGATAAGTACTTCTGAAAATTAGTTTCCTATATTATATAGGGTTTATATGGTATAAATGTCTTTTCCTATGTATTGAATTTTTTAAATTTCATACTCTTTAGTGTTACATTTTTATAGTATATAAAAGAAACACTAAACAATATTATAGAAAATTCAGTTAACAAGAAAAGGATTTTTTAGCATTGTAAATAAAACATAATTTACTAATAACTAATTAGTAAATATAATTCATATTGTTTAGTGTTTTTTTTTACATACTATAAAAACGTAACAATAAATAGTATAACCTTTAAAAAGTTCAATACTATCAATAATCTCTAAATAGCTTGTGGTCCTAAAGCTAAAAAGCTTGTGGTCCAGACAAC